AAATGTAAAAAGATTGGGTTAATACAGTTATTTTAAAAATATTTGAGTGTCTAATGCACACCTCTTAGATAAACTGAGACAATAGCAATTAAACCAACATGTAGATTCTAAAGCATCTAAATCTGTGTTGATCACTGATGCATAACAAATTTCTTTAACATTATGCAAATAGCTAATTTATGACAGCTAAGTGGCATAAAGCCAACTTGATGCTTGCAACCCTAACTTGAACTTGATCAAGTTAAGCTGTGGTTAAAAAAAAAAAAAAAAAACACCCAAAACTCAAGTTTACTTCATTTATCCAATGTCCTATATGTCCAACTCCACTATTACAGCCCCATCCTTTGTCATTTTTCATTACTGGACGGACCGTAAAAGAATTGACACTAGATTAAATAAAAAAAATTATAAATTAAAAATGGAATAGTAAATTAACTTTCTGACAAATGAAGACATACTTTTTGAACTACTTAAATTACAACATTACTTTGCATTCATTTTGATACATTAAGCATTTCTGTATAACCTTTTTTCTGTTCTGTTTCTGTTCACTACATGACTGACTGTATAAATTAGGGTTTAAGAACAGAAATATCAATGATGCAGAAGTCTCGACAACTCATGTATGAAATATGATACTCTTGGCTTTAAAGGCAGGTTTCTGGCCAATGTCGTCATGGAAACTGAGGTCTGAGCACCTGGATTAATCGGCCTGTCCGGTAACAATAGACAGGAAACAAAGGAGCAAGGTGAATTGTCTGGAGAGTTCTGAAATCACAAACTCTCAATACATCTTGCCAGGAGCCAACAGATTGGTTAGGCATCGATAGAGAAATGTGTCAGACCAATGAAATGTGGGAACATTACAGCGTCAATCTGAGATGGAAAGCTGAAGTACCACAAACATGACTGTGCTGGTTTTAGATGGAATACTCTGCATTTCTTTTTAAGAAAAAGAAGCAAAAGGACGTGATTTTTGCCTTTGTGGATGTGAAGATGGTTGTAATGATGGGTATTTTGACCCACTGCCAAACTGTATTGACACTGGGTTGATACTGTCTGACAGAATACTGACACCTGCTGGACATTTAAAGACACTACAGGCAGCCTATTGGACAGACTGAATTGATTTGATGACCTAGAACAATCATTTAAGTGTAGGTTATATTGTATTATTTCATATCTATGATTAAATTGAAAATATATCTGATATTTTTAGATGCTGCCAATAAATAATGTAAACATATAACGTGAAAATTTAGGAGAAAATGTAAATGAGGATGCTTGTGGACTAGGTTTTTTAATCATAATTCTTAAACACCAAGTACAGTAAATAAACCAAGTCAATTTGAAATTAACTTTAATTCAGATCAGTGATAACTAAGATGAAAAGTATGACAACGAAAAAAATGTAAATAAAAGTGCAACAGCTGAAACACTCTTTCCTTTTAGGCTGCTTCAAAAATTCTTGATAAATTTTATGTTAAATCACAAAAGATGACCCTTTTTTAGCAGATGCATCGTGATGACAGATAACATTTTTAACTACAGTTTAGTGAGTCAGTCAGTTAGGAACAACTCCTATATTGGTCACATGACTTTCTTGAAATGACACCTTTTGTTCTATGGGCTTGATGCATGAAACTGATCACTAGATTATTTCCACCCCAATTGGCTTTTGCCAAGTTAGTTGGGTTATAAACCATTCAAAATAGAAACACTGCGCTGTTAGACAATAACTAGAAGATTTTTGTTGTAAATCAATTAACTAGTTTTCAAGCCCCCCCCCCCCAAACAAAAACAATAGGTTTATATTTATAAAGTGAAGTTTTCACAACACAATTAAAAAATGTATTATATTCAAAAGGCACACAGTGTTATTTAGAAAATATTTAATTGATTATAGCAAAGTCATAGAACACAGTCTGTGATTAATACTGATTTATTGCTGACTGACCCACATAATCTGTAAGTTCTCCATAAATTAACTTTGGCGTTGATATGGTGTAAAAGGATTTGTTGGTGTAATTTGCTCCACCTTCATTGGCTCCCTTCCTCAGCTGTTTGTAGTTGGAGGCTTGCTGCACCAGGTCCAAGATGGTTTTGGTGAGAGTAGCATCGGCCAGCGGGTAGGCCTTAGGGTTCACTTGTGGCTCAGCCTTAACAAAACAGAAACAATACAGCCACAAAAGATAAGGGCGACAAGTGTTCAGTTAAAAAAGAACAAATATTAGCTCAAAGCAGCGCTCTCTAGTGTCTTGCTAAAAGTTAACGAGTGTGCAAACTGGTTAGCTAATGCAGTACTCACCATTGCGGAGTATTTTTCTCGTTTTTCGGCCCTCTCGGCGAAATGCTTCACGGAGGACTACTTGTTTACCTTCTGGCTTTAAAGGGGCTTGAAAAAACGGCGCAGGATACGTTGCTTCACCAAATGTTTAACAGGTTTAAAGTCTTGAGTTCTAACGCATGCAGGCAGCACAAACGTTCACCACACGTGTTAATGGAAGAAGGGATCTTCTTCTTCTTCTTTTAGGTTTTTGGCAATTGGCGGACAACCGAATTTGTGCATTACTGCCACCGGGTGGTATGGCGTGGACTAGAACGTCTCTCAAAGACTAACTTAAAAGATATCAACTACACCAAGATGTATTTATTAAATTCAATTAAAATGTTTAACAATCATAATTTTAACAATTTCATATATGTTCTATTGTCTCATCAGAGTTATATACATTTATGTCTCACTGTATAATTACATTTCTTACTTACATTTATTTGTTTATAGTATTTTTGGTAGCAATTAATTATGCTTATTTATTTATTGAGCATTTATTTATTTATGTATTTATTTTTATATATGGCAGTCAGTCCTCCATACACCTATACTTCTTTTAAACTTCTTTGACGTTTTTTTTTTTCTTTTTTTTTTTTTTTACCTTTCATACCTTTCATTCATTGTCTGTATTATTAATGTTACACTATTTCTGGTGAGTGTTTGCCTAATGGGTTATAGCGGTGCGCTTGTGCTCTGAGAAGGTTGCAGTAGTCTGCACTATGGGTCCCTGAGCAAGACCCTTAACCTCACTCCGCTCCCCGGGCTCCCCAGCCTACCGCTCTCCAAATGCAGAGGTACATTTCTCCAATGTGAGATCAATAAGTTTGATTAGTATTCTTTTTCATTTTCATTATCTCTGGAGATGGCAACAGATTTTTTTTTTTTTTTATCAAGAAAATCTATTTACATTTTCTATCCACCCTTGCTTCAATTATTTGAAGTTTGCCAGTACCATATGCTGAAAAACGCGAAGCTGAATATGGCTTCCGATTCGTAAAATAAATAAAGGGCGATTCCACTTATTTTTCCCTACCTTCAACATCTTTAATCTACTCTAATTAAAATTAGAAAAAAAGGTTTCACAAATACCAGACCTGGTTTTAATTGTTCAACAATTAGTTTAGAGTAATCTAATCCACTAGACGTTTCTAGGTGTTGTAGTTTTTTTTTTTTTTATTAGAGTAGATTAAACATGCAGGTAGAGAAAATTCAGTGGAATTGCCCTTTATTCATTTTTCGAATCGGAAACCAACTTCAGCTTCGTCTCACACGACTTCTCATGTGCGTCTTGTCTGTGATTAAGCTCTCTCTCATACTCAATAGATAGCTTTATTCCCAGTAAACCCTGTATATTCAATTTAGATCAGGTGCATAGGTGACGATAAAGGCAGGAAAACAATTAAAATTGGTTTCTCTATTCCCGTTTTAGCTGGAGCTTTATTTTGTAGGGCACTGCACAGGCGGGATTGGAAGTTACTCCCTCGGTATTTTGAATACAGCTTTTATTTCTTTATGTTCAGCCCAACAATGGGAAGTTTTAGATGGAAAATTGAAAATAAAATTAAAAAAAGATTAAAAATGACTGATTTAGAAATTACTCAAACACCAGTTATTCAGTTATTCCACCGTGGATTCTACCAGAAGCAACAGTAGATATGTCAAAAATGAAAATAAACACAATCTTACATTGTTATGAGATATTAATTCCAGTTACATTTAAACAAGTATTATCAATGTATTCAAATGTATACAGATGAATCAAAAATAACAGGAAAAAATAAGAATCACTATTGTTGTACCAAAATTCAATACAAAAATCTAAAAAATGAATTTAGGACGGATTATCAGTATACACAGGAGAAATGTTGGCAATATCATTAGCTTTACAATCAGTAGAAGATACAAAACCACTAAAAACAGTAGTTTGTTCAGATTCAAGCTCTGCATTATCAAGTTTAATATACAACCAATCAGATAATAGGACAGATATTCTATTAGAAATATTTCATTCATTATACAGAATACAAAATCTGGGTTTGATAGTTATATTTGTATGGTTTCCAGCACTTATTGGAGTAGAAGGAAACGAGAAGCCAGATAACATGGCAAAGAGGGCAATTGAAAATCCCGTTAGGTTTACAGTTAAACCAAGTAACTCTGGGGGGGGGGAAGGGTATTATTTCGAGAGAAAAAAATGATAGAAAAATGGCAAAAAAAAAAAAAAAAAAGCTGGGATGAAGAAAAAATAGGAAGATGGTTTTATAAAATTCAGACGATTGGAAATGAAGAAACGGAAGACGAAATATGAATGAGAGTGATAACAAGGTTAAGATTTGGGCAAGCAGGACTTAATTTTACACTTTTTTTAAATTTCAAAAGCATGTCACTGGCAAATGTGATTACTGTGGAAAATAAGAAACAATAGAACCCTTTATACTAAAATGTCATAAATATGAAAGAGAGAGAACATACATGAGGAGAGAGTTTGAACATATTAAGGAAAAGATTAATTCATTGGATATTTTGAGGAAGAATTTGGAGAGAAAACATAAACAGATAGTTATTCCATTTCAGAAAACCACTATATATTTTTAGCAGCCGGAGCTGTGACACTAGAGGGCGCGCTTACCTGCTGCGCGTCTCTGCGCGCGACCGAAGAACGCGCGGTGGATTCTGGGTAGGGCACTTTGAAGACGGCCATATTGGCTGTTCGTCCTGGCTGAAGGAGAGAGATGAAGGGGATCCGGGGATTCAGTCAGCTCTCGGTGAGGTTCACCTCACGTAGCTTGTATGTTTAAAGATTTACGGACCCGGTTCCTCCACTACAGTAGTTTCGTCTAAATGAGGAAAACAAAATAAGTGCAGCGGACTTGTTAGCGGTAGCTTTGATGAAGACTGGCCGAGGAAGCTTCTAGCTTAAGAGCTTGACCTGAGAATACTTCATCACAAACACATACTTATCGGAAACTGCATTTCACTTAACTGTTATAAGCTTATTTTGAGTTTCTAAATCAACTAATTATATTTCCTTTCCAGCGAAATCACAGCTAGCTGGTAGCTTCCTGTATGTTTCGACAAAACGAACTCGATTGCTTTGGCTCTTCACATTTTTTTTCGGTTAAACTGTAATAGATTTAGTCAAAATATACACGTTCAACTTGCTGAAACTTTGGTTAAATAGCAGTCTAACTGAATAAAAAATGTTTTAAGCTGAACAGAGTAGATTTAGCTGAGTGTAACATAACCTCCTGGAAGACCATTTAGTTATTCGGAATAATAATCTTATTATAAGAATTAATTTTATCGTTAAAGTTCCTCTTAAAATTGGTATATCTGCAGCTATGGTTCTTGCCGGACTCTGCGTACAAATAGAACAAACATAAGATACAATTGATTAATAAATAGGTTAAGATAAATGTGAATGTTTTGCAAATTATTTGTTTTTTCTCCCTCGATCGGTGACTCTGATATAGCTTTATAATTTGATTCAAAAGTCCTTCATTTCTTAAGCACTCGGTGGCTCTGAATAAAGAAGAAAAACTTGTGGTTATTATGAGGACTATAGTTGTAGCCACCATATAAGCTTTTGGAGTTATAACATTATAACAATAAAGTCTTATTAGGTGTTTTTGTGTTGTCTTCTTTCAGTAGGAGATGCTCCTATAAGTTTCTGTTCTCTGTTTTAGATATTTATTTTCTAAACCTGTACTTTTCTGAGTTTTCTTTGCCTGCAAATCTCATTATGAACTTTATTAACAAACAACAATAATAATATTAGACATATGAATCTCAGGGTTTTCTGCTATAAATTCTCAATTATATGCAGAATATACATTGTTGAACTGTGCTTTTCTTGTAGGGCTAGCTGAGTAAACTCATAATCACATACTTTGGGGAATCTTAAATCATCAAATTAGAAATGCAACAATTATCATATATTTTTTAGTTGTTTTTAAACATAACACCTTTTTAACATGCGTTAGCATTATGAAGGATGTATGAGATGACATATAATACAGTCTTAATTATTTTCTATTACTGATTATTTTTGCTTACTATCAGTCTTCGTCTATTCCTTGGATTAACTCTTCACCTCCAGTATTTCCAAACCCATTAATTTCCATAACAGATGCTTATGATGAACATTGTACAATGTGGTTACTAATGGACCACCCTATGAAGACCCCTCCCCACAATTTTTATGCTTTAAAAAGTTGTTGCACAGTGTTTGAGGAAAAGGAAGACCTAACGCCTGTACAAATGTTGTTCTGAACAGGAACAGTTGGTCTGCTCCCTTGAAAGACCTTCTCTTTTTGAATAGCTTTTTAAACTGTTAGTAATTAATCCTCATTAAAAACATCCAGTTGTGTGTTTTTGCTGTTTCCTTCAATTGGTCCATTAACCCACAAGATAGGCAATAACACATTAGCTGTAATGTCCTGCTTTCCCATTTTCTCTGTTTTCCCAGACAAGGCTTTACGCAGCCCAGGCTGCCCGTAAGGTGGAACTGACAGGGTTTCAGCCACAGGATGTGCAGGTCAGTGATTGTTGACATATTTTTTTTCCTCCACAGAGACGGTTTTATACAGCTGCTAGAAAAGGCCAGTCCCTTACCGAACCTCTGTCTGGTCTGAAGCTCTCTCCGGGGGCTCCCAACTCCTACCAGGATATTCATGTATGTAGGGATGAATCACGGCAGGCTGCGCTTTGGCTTTACGAGTCCGGCCGTGGACTCATTTTGTTGTGTTATGCTTCTGTTTGAAATTGGTAAATTATCTCACTAAACATACAGAATAGGCCAGAAGCCAAGGCTTACTGGGAAACAGTGGATTGTCTTTATATGATGTTAATTGTAAAGGAGCACTCTGTCTGCGTCTCCCCCCTCAGGTAAGCAAGCTGCCCAGCGGACTGGTGATCGCGTCCTTGGAGAACTACTCCCCAGCCTCTAAAATTAGTGTCTTTGTCAAAGCCGGATGTCGCTATGAAACCCCCGACAACCAGGGTGTAACCCACTTCCTCAGGCTGGCCTCCAACCTGGTAAGCGATTTCATAGCAGCCCATTTGATTCTAATGTTATTCCTGCTGTTTTTAGCGACCTTTCATGCTAAAGGGTCACATTCATGAACTAAGACACCTAAGGAAAACTAGAGTAGTAAATATATTGCTTATTAAATTGTTATTCATTTATAAAGTTATGTCATTTATAAGGAAATTTACTGTCTGATTTCTGATTTCTATTAAAAAATGAGTCTGATTTGTTATTTTTAATGTTTAATGTTTGTATTGAAACAGATCTCTAAACCTAGACCTTTAATTTGAAACCTTATTTTGGTTATTATCAAAATTATCCAGTATTTAATGGCCCATCCAGTCTGTTCCTCTGCTTGATTTTAATGTGTCAAAGCTGAACTCACACATATAAGAAAACCCTTTTGATTGATAAAAGCTTGTTTAAACAGATCCCAGCCCTATTTTTATTTCACTACCTATTTCATTGTACCTCTTGCAATGCACTCGCAGACCACTAGGGGTAGGAGTACGGGAATCACTGTTCTAGGTGATCAAAACTCCCAAGGTTTTTTTAAACAAGCTAAAACTTACGTATTTTATTACTTTTATACACACCTGTGTTCCTTTTTGACTTTGTAGACAACCAAAGGAGCATCAGCGTTTAAAATCTGCCGTGGTATTGAGGCCGTGGGAGGCAGCCTGAGGTCGGTGCTCTTACCTAAATAAAAAAGCATTGTCACACTTCAATTCAGTGTCCTTATCCTGTATATTCCTTTTCTGCACAGTGTGACTTCATCCCGGGAGAATATGATGTACACAGTCGACTGTTTGAGAGATGACTTGTGAGTGTTTTCATCATGCATTTCTTTTCCAGAGACTGACGTTGAAGGCAGATCTTATCACTTATTCTGATATCCGTTTGTTGTGTTTCTGCCTCCGTCTTCATTGTCTGCAGTGACACAGTGATGGAGTTTCTGATAAATGTGACAACAGCTCCTGAGTTCAGACCATGGGAGGTATCTGAGCTTACACCGAGGGTGAAGTTGGACAAAGCACATGCTTCACAGAACCCCCAAATAGGTTGGCATTTTATTATTACTTCATTTTAGTCCAAACATATGGATTGAGTTCCTTTGGTGCACCTGCCTGCTGCATTCACACATACGCTTTCAGTATAGAGATATCAAAATGGTTGCATTTATTGTGAAAAGGGCAAACCAAACACTTAAAATCAACTCTGTTTCTGTTTTGTTAAACATCATCTGTTCTTTCTTAGGTGTGGTTGAAGGTCTTCATGGAGCAGCATATAAGAATGCTCTGTGTAACTCGTTGTACTGTCCAGACCACATGGTGGATAACATCCAGTCTGAACATGTGAGTCATTTTCAACATGTCAACATTGTAAAATGCCTGTTCAAAGTGGGGCTTTTTTTCTGAAATTTGTTTTCTCTTCCCTCAAGCTTCATCAGTTTGTCCAGAACAATTTCACCAGTGCAAGAATGGCTCTTGTGGGACTTGGTAAGAGGAATTGTCATTATTTAACATGTATCCCTTTCACACTGGCTGAAAAACCCACTTAAACCTGGGAACAATCAGTTTTTCGAGCAACAATCAACCCGGCAAGCGACCCCTCACCTCTGATTGGCATGCTATGAAAACACCAGAACCGAGTCGACCCGCTAAATTACGTGATACCATTGAGTGCAACGTGCGGATGTTCACACATCGCTCCGGTCGCTTAGAATCTAACAAGCCAAACAAATCTTTTTACACTTGATCAACATGGTGAAGCTCGGGTCAGAGAGGTTCGGACAGATAACAGAGCAAAAAAACAAAGCTCACTGACTATGCCCATGCTTCTTTACATGTAGCCCTCCATTGTTTGCGTTCCTGAATTCTGTCGCACTGAAAGAAGCCGTGCTGCTGCCAACTAATTTAAACCCAGCTTTTTTGCAAATGGGAAGGGAGCCAAATGCTGATTGTTAACGGGTCAGCTCATGTTTAAAATACACGAGTTAACCCACTACTTCCAAAAAACGTTAAAAGACAATCCACTGTACTTTTGTTTCCAAGTTTGAAGTCATTTCACTTCCCATCCAGGAAGCTTTTTCAATTCAAAATGTCAGAAATACCGTGGAGTTTGAGGGTCTATAAATCGGACCAATAGCAAAGCCTTGTTTTTGTTTAGAAAACATGCAAATTGACCCTGACGAACGGCTCCGCCCCTTTGGAACGGGGGTCGTTTGAGTTCTTTGTTAGCCTGTAATAGCCGATGCCTGTCTATGCCTCAACAAAAGTTGTCTAAGATACTAAGAAGATACTAATAGAGGAACACTCCACTTCTGTTTCAAGTTTATGCTAGTTATGGATATTAGTTCTCATATTACTATCCTAAAGATTGACTGATATGACATAAGATCAAATAAAAAATACAATTTCTCTGTCCTTACAGTTTCCATTAACTTCCATTATAATTGTCTGTCAAATGTTATATAAAACTAATATCAATAAGTTGCATAACTCCACAGTGATGTTATTCAGGTAACGGCTAAAACAAGATTCCAAGAATTTATTATAAATATTGATGAAATAAAATAGAAAATAAAATAGAATTGATTTTCAAAGATCAACTCTCTTCTAGTTTAGATCTTTCTTAGAAAAAGGAGTTATTCCAAATTTTGTCAGCAGGCGTACCAAATCTATGATTTTCTTTAAAGCAGTTGATCAATATCAGAATATATCAGTGTGCATCTAATATCTATGATATAAGCATGCTGATAGAAACAGCTCACTTAGATACGCTTCTGTTTATGTATGCCGTTGTTATTAAAACATCGTTCAGTTGTTCTCATACTTGTTATTGTTGAGTGATGATGATGATGATGATGATGATGATGATGATGATGATGATGATGATGATGAATGATTCTCCGCAGAGTAATGTTATAGTAATAATATAATATATCATATTATAATTAAGGGTGAACCAAAATGAAAATTCTAGGCAAAAACGAAAATTTGAAGCACCTTTAGCATTTTTAGCTACGATGTGTTCGCTAATCTTAAATGAAACCAAGGAATTTCAACAAATCAGTGAGAAAAGTATCAAAATATTTATTTCTTTGTTATGCATTTTTACCTAAGCGAATCACCGGCAAACCTTCATAACCCGTCCGCCACAGATGGAGCGTCATGTTCTGTGTTTGCGTTCATTTTGTGTCACATTCTTCTCATAATCAGAATGCTGATGGATTTCTATGGCATCATTTTTGTGCCACTGACCCGAATGCACAGTGAGAGAGATGCACAGAGTTGAAACTCAAACATCCTCACTCCAAACCTGTATTCAGTCCTTTTCTGTGTGTGTTTCTGCGTGCTGGCTTTGCTGTTTTCTTAAGATCCCGTTTCCCCCTTGCTGTTTTTCCTGGTTGCCATGTCATCATGTTTCTGCCGCAAGTAGAAACATGTGATTTTGTTTTTGTGTTAATTGTCTTATTGGCCATAAAAACAAAAATGAACTTGTCGCTAATTTGGCCAAAGATTTCGGTGCATCACTTATAATTAAATAACTTGATCTGAGCTTTTTAACATTCCACACATGAAAAGTGAGTAATAATAGTATCTAAGGTTCTAACCGATATGTTCCTTCAGTATCGCTGTTGGTTTGTATTAGGGCTGGGAAATTAATTGTATTTGTGAAATTATCGCAATTTTTAAAAATGCAATTTTCAAAGCACAGAGGCTCTCAATTATAGTCACAATACATTAAACAAGAGTAAAAAACTCAATTTCTCCCTTAGGTGGCGGTAATACGATTAAAGTGGGTACGCTGTCACACAGGAGGGGACAGAGAGTTGCAGCTAGCACCTAGATCTATGCTTAATAGTAGAAGACATCACTTTTTCTTTCAAATGTTACAGCAAAGTCCTGCAGCTCTGTATTCTGGAAAAGCAGTTCATGGAAAAACTGAAACCCTGGAGTAAAACATCGACTTGTTGTACTTATTGACCCCAATACTGGTTGAAAATATTCACAATTTAGATTTCTGGCAAAGTCGTTCAGCCCTAGTTTATACTGCAAATTCTGTATCTTACCTGAAATGAAAAAGTTGTACAGGGACATCCTTAATGTATTTAAAAGAAAAGAACTAATGACACCAACCTATTATTAGAGTGGTGTAGCTCTGGGTTTCTGTTCAGTTTAGATTGTGATGTTCTTGGTCCATCAGGTGTTGATCACTCTGTGCTGAAGCAGGTTGGGGAGCAGTTCCTCAACATCCGCGGTGGAGCAGGAGCCACGGGGGCCAAAGCGCAGTACCGTGGGGGTGAGCTCTGCAATCGCTAATCTTTATGGACACTAAGGCTTTCCTGTTGTTACTGTAAAGCATTTAAATAACCTTTCAGTTTTGGCATGGTCTCATGTGCAGGAGAGTTTCGTCATCAGAGCCTCGACAGTCTGGTCCATTCTGCTGTGGTGAGCCAGTCGGCACCAGCTGGTACCAGCGAGGCTCTGGCCTTCAGTGTGCTGCAACATTTACTGGGAGCTGGTCCACATGTTAAGAGGGGCTCCAGCGTCTCCAGCAAATTGATCCAGGGGGTTGCCAAGGCAACCACAGACCCCTTCGATGTGTGTGCTTGTGTCACTTTTTCATGCAATCTTTATAAAGTTACATACATCTATAGAGGAAGATTTTGGTGCATGATATCCACCGGATGAAGGTCTTTTGGTGTATCTGTGACAGGTGAGCGCTTTCAATGCCAGCTACTCTGACTGTGGTCTGTTTGGGATCTACACCATCTCCCAGACTGCAGCAGCTGGTGACGTGAGTATTAGAATACTTATTTCTCTGATGGACCATGTTTGGAAGATGATCCCTGTCAAACTTTTCCCTTTCAGGTGATCAAGGCTGCCCTCGCTCAGGTGAAATCTGTTGCTGATGGAGGAATCACAGCTGCTGAACTAACTCGAGCCAAGTAAGGAACCCTGATAGACAGCTCTTTAATAGTTTTTACCTGGATTGAATTTCCCCAAGTTAATTATAACTTAATTTTTCTTAAACTAGATATCATTATAACCTTTTATCAAGTAGATCACAAAGTTCCAGGATTTCATTAATTCACCAAAAAAATAAATGTTTTTTTCCCCCCCTTATTATTTTCTGCTTAGGGCTCAGCTTAGGGGTCAGTTTCTCATGTCTCTGGAAACCTGGGAGGGTCTGCTGGAGGCCATGGGCTCCCAGGCTCTGGCTGATGGAACCTACCACTCTCCAGAGGAAATCTCCAAAAACATCGACAACGTGTCCCTGACGGATGTTGCAAATGTAAGATGTTTGCTTCCACTGGAGCTCAGTCACGCTGTAATGTTTCAAGGCTGAACTTAAATTTGTATCTTTTGAACTTTGGCTTAATAAGTTTTAGACTAAATTTTGGAGAGCGAAAGATATTTTGCTTCTCACAATATTTATGGGCTTCAGTTTTATATGTTTTTATCAGACGTTTCTGTGATTTACTAGACTGGTGTAAATAAGTTCTAAGGGCTTTTATTAAAAATTACTTTTACTGAATAGGTTGCTAGGGAGATTGAGATCAGGGGAGCTTTAACAACATTAATTCTGATTTCAGTGTTTTAAATGGGGAAGAGAAAAGTATTTTAGATTAAAAAAAATGTCCATGTGATGAGTTGATATGTCCGCTTCAAAATGATTTCTTCTGGGTTGTAATGAAGGCTGCAATTGCTGATTATTTTGCAAATTGATTAATCTCTCGATTATTTTTTTGATCAAAAATCAGATATCAAAAGCTTCCTTTAAGAAGATTTTTTAAAAGAAATTAAACCAGGTAAACTAAAACGTATTCACTTGAGGAGTTCTCGATAGAGCATATTGATTGACAAAAACATTCTTTTTTATCGTAAATGCAAAATGTTTATATTTTTTTTTTATATAATTTTGTTATAATTACTGCTCTAAGTAGATTGGTCTGTCAGCTACAGCAATATTTTACAGTCTCTATATTCCAGTTTATGATTAATTGATTACTAAATTAGTTGACAGTTATTTTAATAATCGATTAATTATGATTTATCTGATCATTTTAGCCCTATTTGTAATGCTACATTTGTCCACTAGAGGCTGCTGTTATGCATTCTTAAGCGGGGCATCAGTGGTATTTGTCTTGCCAGAGTCGAGGCAAGGTAGAGCAGAAACACTAATCAATCCAGAGTTCGGTCCGGAATTTATTTCCTTCTCCAAAGATGCAGATTCACTTTGTGTAATTATTTTTGTATATATAAACACTTGATAAACTCCTGATGTTATCGCTCATTTAAGCACCTGTTTAAAGGCGCTGCTAGAGGCAGAAAATGTCTTCCCGTACTGAATGCAGGATTATGCTAAAAACAGAGCTAAGCTTTCGCTTCACTGAAACAAATGGTCTGGCAGCGTGTCTAAGTGACAAATCCTGTCCTTTCAAATGAAAGTTTCACATCTGGACATTAGAAATCCCAAATGTTTCACATATTTTTTTCATTTTTTTTTTATTTGCTAACTTAATAGGTTCCTGTTTTGTTACGTCTTCTTCGTATGTCTAGTTTTATAATGTGTAAGAAAACAATTATTTTTTTTGTTTATTCAGTTAGTATTTAATGCACCTGGCCCAGTCCATTTTAATGCAATGATGTGCTTTTTTAATTTTATTTTATTGAGCTCATTGTACAAAAAAAAAAGATTTTGGCCTTTATCTTACTGGAAAAATCCTTTGAGATTTAAAAAAAAAAGTCTGCCTATTAATAATTTGTTAGTTGCTCAAACAGCTTTACATTTATTAATTTATTGATAATCAATAACTTTCATCTCTAATAGCTGTGCTGTAATGTCATCACTCTTGCTTGGTAAATTAGGCCTCCACCATCCTACCCACAGGATGCAATGGCTGTTTTAGAAAAAGGTAATTTCTTTGTTCCACAGTAGGATGCAAAAGTCATCCTACTGTCTCTGTAAAAGCATTCCTATGTGCTGCCATTTCTAAACAACTTTTAGGCCTTTAACTGTATCCCCTCTAGGAGAGCCCCCTGGTTATGCTGAAATTTGAACTTGATGATTTTATTTGAATGTTACTCTATTATAACCTTTCCTATGAGATTCCTTTGATGCAGTGCTGTGAGGACATTCCTTAGAATGATCACGGTTTGGACACTATATCCCGTTTAAAATGACCATTCTGCTTTTCTGAATCCGGTAATAGGAATGCAAGTTGCAGAGTGATAAATGAATCTAGAGTTGATTGATCTTATCGGTCGACGAATGACTGATTACCAGCTATTTGCCTTAAAACCTGTGTCTACCAGTATATATTTGCATAACTTTTTATGTATATGTACAACTACCGGTAAATTACAAGTACAAAACATGTACTGTGCTGTTTAAATGAGTAACAGATGGACTGCATAGAAATAACATGCTGCACACCAGAAAATATAGATTGGGCCTACCTTTTGGGCTAAGGTGCAGCTTAGGCTTTAACAAGAAGAAAAGACGTTTATCACCATGGTCTTCTCCCTGCCCACTAAAACCATCAAAGTCTTCTTCTTCAGTGTTGGAAACCAACAAGCTCAGGATGCCTTCGTCATCGACTCTCTGCTTCTATCTCTGTCCAAACCAAAGAACCCCTGGTTGTCAGTGTCAGAATGGAACACCCTCTGAGTGTTAGTGGCGGTGTCCTCCTCTTCACCACGCAGCAGCCCAGCCCTTCGAAATCTGTTGGTGATTGTGAATGTTTAGACACTTCTCCACATTGTCAAAATCCTTCAGCAAACTTAGGCAAAACTTGCTTTTCACAGTTTTGATGAATGATTTATTGCGCCCTGTCATCCCCGCCTCCCACAAAACGCACAGTGTTACAATTCACACTGATGTCTAGTGGGTGCAGTTGCTTTGTTGTGCCTCCAGGAATCACAGCTGGAATTGAGTACGTGCTCTTAATGGCTGCTTTCAGAGAATGTTTGATATGGGCGCTCATGCTGTCCAAATGAACAATGCTTTATGTGGGGGAAAGCTTGGTAGAAAGCTTTGCCAGCCCTTCCAAAGTAGGCAAAGTAGTGGAAGTAGCGGAACAAAGCAAAACAAAACCTCTCATAACATCACAAAAATAATGAAAAATCCATAGAAAAGCCGCACATCACTATAAGCTGCAGGGTTGAAACTTGTGAAAAAAGTAGCAGCTTAAACTCTGAAAATTACGGTAATCTCAGACCGGATTCTGGATTAATTGATGTTTCTGCTTTAACAGGCCTCTGCTCTGGCTTTACATGTTTTTTGCGAATAAAAGTGAGGCTCCAATTAAGAATGACCAGCCGCGTCCTCTTGTGGGCGACAGTACCATCAAAACACTGAAACTCCTTTTAAGTGGACATTGTCCAACAGTTAGATGGAACAAATTTTAATGGAAAAAACCGTTAATCGGCACTTAATGGAGTTTTAAATATCTGTTTAGTCAAATTGATTATATTAACTTATATTAGCAGGTTAATTTGTGCAGATTTGAAAGTGTTTGGAATCAATATTTCAATCGAACATTTCTTCATAGCTTCTTAGCCTCAATGTGATTTCCAAGTAAAAAATCCAAATTAGTTGCTGTTGTGGAATTCTGTCATTCCAAAATATTTAACTATGACTACATTTTGTCGTCTTTGTTCTTGTCTCCCTGTCTCCTATAGGCTGCCAAGAAATTTGTGACTGGCAAGAAGACGATGGCATCCTCCGGCAACCTCATAAAAACTCCCTTCGTAGATGAAATTTGAAAATCTTCTACTGGACATTTCAAATGACATCAAATGTCTTCTAATTAAAAAAATCATAACTTTTTCCTGTTTCAATGATATGATCGTAAGAACATTGTCATAAAAACACCACTGGCTAGTTGTGTTTTGAAACGGCATATTGTGAATTGATCTCTGTGGCATCACTGTACTGTCTCTGTTATCTGTCCAAATGGCAACTGAATAGATAATGTAAAATAGGGAATTAAATCTATGCCTACTATGTACATTTTTGAGGTGCTCCCTGTCTTGATAGTTTCCTTTTGGGCTTTAGAGGTCTCTGTGGCAAAATGGATCTGAGGGTGTGCACATATTTTAGTCAACTTTACTGGTAAAGTTTAATGCAAACAAAAAATTTAAAAAAAGGAAGTTGACTTCTTAACTGTATTATTTTTTAAGACCTTCAACCATCAGTTAACAGTCAAAACTAGATTACAGAACATAGATTACAGGCATGTATTGAAGACATAAAGACTGGCATGACTCTTAACTTCCTGTTCCTAAATGCAGACTAAACAGAAGTTCTAGTCTTTGGACCACAGTTTTTGAAAAAGAAGTGGATTAGTCAGTCACTTCATTTGGATGGGATCGAGTTGATCTGAGATAATAAAGTAAAACATCTTGGTGTTATTTTTGATCAAGACCTGCCATTTAAATTCCATATCAAAAAGGTTTCTAGGGTTTCCTTCTTTCATCATATTGCAAATATAGTAATATCCTGTCCAGGGGTGATGCTGAGAAACTAGTCCATGCATTTGTTACTTCAAGGCTGGACTATTGTAATTCTTTACTATCAGGAAGTCCACAAGCTGTAGTTAAAAGCCTTCAGCTGATCCAAAATGCTGCAGCCAGAGTTCTAATGAAAATTAAAAAGAGAGATCATATCTCTCCTATCCTGGCTTCTCTTCATTGGCTTCCTGTTAAATCCAGAATTGAATTTAAAATCCTCCTTCTCACATATAAAGCCTTAAATGGCCAAGCTCCATCTGATATCAGAGATCTGATTGTTCCTTATGTTCCTAACAGAGCACTTCGCTCTCAATCTGCAGGTTTACTAGTGGTTCCTAGAATTTCTAAAAGTAGAATGGGAGGCAGATCTTTTAGTTATCAGGCTCCTCTCCTGTGGAACCAACTACCATTTTGGGTTCATTTTGGTTCCACAGGAGCATAAAACCACTCTCCTTGATCAACTGGAATAAATTATCTATAGTATAAGGCCTGGTTATTTTGAACTACTGTTTCATTCTCTACAAAAGATTATGTTTTCAAGAAAATGATTTAAAAAACAAAGACCCATAAACTGTTTGTGTTAGTAGTAATATGTTTCTATGATCATTTTGATTCTTAAAGTATTGGGAGCGCAGTACAGGCTGCTGTATTTTTTCCAAATGTTCCCTATAACTACGGTAGGTAAATATATAGAACACATATACGGTCATGTTCACGAATCAGAATAGGCCTTCTGATTGATCTCATTTGTCAGAGTACTACAGGCAGAGATGCGTTGTAACGAGTTACATTTAGTCATGTCTCCAGCCTAACTTTATTCATCTGTAATCATGAATGTAATCCTTTAATTTTTATTTTCTCCTCTTATTTCCATCCATCTTTTCCCGCTTATCCGGGTCGGGTCGTGGAGGTAGCAGCTTCAGTAGGGAGGCCCAGATGTCCCTCTCCCCAGCCACTTGGGCCAGCTCCTCCGGGGGAATCCCAAGGTGCTCCCAGGCTAGCCGAGAAACATAGTCCCTTATGACTCATGATTTTCGGTGTACAGTGTGTGTGAAGTTAATTAACCTAACAGTCATGTTTTTGGACTGGCAGGAAGCCGGAGTACCCGGAGAAAACCCACACATGCACAAGGAGAACATTCAAACTCCATGCAGAAAGACCCTGGGCCGTGAACCAAACCTGGAATCTTTTTGTTGCAGAGCAGGCGAGCTACCCAGTGCGCCACTCAGAAATACTGAGCAGTTAGGTGATAACTTAATATTTTGAAACAGAACAACATAAAGTCCATGCTGCCTCCTTGACGCCATTAAACTGTAAATACCGTATTTTCTGGACTAGAAGGCGCACCTGAATATTAGCCACTAAATCCTGTTGTGTTCATAGATTAGCCACACCTGATTAAAAACTGCAG